TATCCATATTTATTTTGTATCGATATGATTTCATTTATTTCTCACCACTAGATGGTGCTGTGTCTGTTTGTTTCTCCTTTTCTATTTTCTTCATCCTTCAGAATGTTTCTGGTCTGATGTGAACCTGGGCGCTGACCGTGGTTCTGATCAGAGAGATCCAGTTTGGTACAAAAGTATCACAGTCTGGTCATATACACTTTATGTTTTCTAATAATGTGTTTGAATGTTTTTTTAGCTCCAGTTTGAAAGTGTTTGCTGTTTTGGTGTAATCTAAAAACAGAGTAAAAGTAGAACTACTTCAACATATGTTTACTCAAGTAAAAGCAGAAAGTAGCCGTCCAAGAAATCACACAGTGAGAGTAAAACAGTGTTTTGTAGAAAGGCGGCTCAAGTACATGACAGAATCAGATGGAGCAAAGTGTAAATTTATGTAGAAATGTTGGTATTTCAAAGACCAAAATGAAAATAATTCATAATAAAAGAAATTCAAGAAAATCAAGCAAAATAAATATTTTTTCCAAAACCAGTTTATTTCAGAATAATCCAGATGTAATTCAGTGAAGCTACTCACAATACGAAGTAAAAGTATTGATACTTCATAATAAAATGACTCAAACAAAGGTAAAAAGTACAGTGTAGCAAAAAATACTAGCATCTTTTATGTATCCAAACATTTAAGAAAGTTACTCAATTAAATGTAGCAAATTACTATCCCACTTTGTCTAATCTCTGTTATCACACAGGTATTACATAGAACAGGTGTAGAAACGCTACAGCGAGTTAACAGGGCAGGAAACTACCAGCTCTCAGATAATGAACATAGAACTATTCCATCTAGATTAAATATTCACCAAATTTTCTCTGTGAACATCAACAGAGAACCTTTATTACCTGTGAGTATGAGGGACAAAATCTGTCTAAAAACACGAACCGTGACGCAGATCTGTGTGTAGCTGCAAAACAAAATTATTTATCAGTTTCTGTTAACCTGAAAAATGTCTAACAGGATGAAGAAATCAGAAACTTCATTAAATATGGGCAGGCGAGGTCGTCTGGAACTGGTTTCAGCTGCATCTAGCTACATCCTGCTGCATCCTGCAGCATCCAGCTGCATCCAGCTACATGCTGCAGCATCCTGCTGCATCCACCGCTTCTGATGTGAATCCCAGAAGTCTGAGCTGCTGCTTGGCAGGGAAAAAGTTTCTCCAAAGAGCAACAAACCACCAAAATTTGGAGCACAGCGCCATCTACAGAGCTAATCCAAGAATCCACTCACAGAATCAAACCCAGTTATTCTGGACCAATAAGGAAGCATCACACTAAGATTCCTGAAGCAGTTTTAAACAATCCACCATTCAGCAAAACCAATCCACACATGAGAAAGATTTGATGCTGCATTTGTTTCGGTTGTTTGTTCCCTTTTCTTCTAAAATGCTCAGAAACAGTTTGAGTCGAGTTCTGCTGTTCTGTTTCTTCTCATCCTGAAACTACAACTTTCCTGCTCTGTGCAGAAACAGCAGCGGTAAAACCAGGTTGCTGGGCACCAGCAGCCAAACCCCCGAGTCCATCAGTGCACACAGATATTCTGTATCAGCTGAAATTAAACTCTTAACCCCCACAGCAAGCAGAATACCCAGCATCCTCAGGGCCAGAGTGACGGTTATGGCTAAAATCATGTTGAAGGCTCTTTTCTTTGATTGGTCGGTGTTCTGCTGGTTCCCTCTAGCGCCCCCTGGCTTTGGACGCCTCAGGAAATGCAGGACGGACAGACAGCAGAACAACGTAACAATCAGACAAATGGCCAAACAAGGCAGCAGCACGTCTGTTGGGAAGTTCGGTAGATACATTGTCATTGAAGCAGACATCCCAGAACCGATCAGCCACACGGCCGCCGTGCTGATGTTCCTGACTCTCACTTTGACCGCCTCCCTCAGGTTCATGTAGGCGATGGCATGAACCACGGCCGCGTAGCGCTCCACGCAGGTCAGGACGTGGAAAATGGTCTGACTGGGAATAACGAAGCCTAACAGATACACTCCCGTCAGGAACGTTATCTGAGATTCCAGGTGGCTTCCCAAAATGACCAAAGCTGATCCGAAGACATCAAAAATCCCAGCGATCATCATCTGGTAGGTGAAGAAGTCGGAGTGGCTGATTGCTGCGCCTGCAGCAGCTGATGGCTGACGCCGCCATCGCTGGAAACCCAGGCAGAGGATGGAGACGTAGAGCGGGAGGAGCAGCAGGTTGGTGACGGCGTACGCCGCGTAGATGACCTTGAATCCTACAGAAACCTTACATCCTGGCAAAAAGTGACTGACGGAGACGTTGGACATGTTGAAGAGAGGAGAGACGACAGAAGGGACAGACATAAACCTGAGGGATATGGTCTGCAAAAAATGAGAAAATAAACAGAAATTAAACAACAGGAATATGGAAAACAGTTTTAATCAACAGTAAAAACGTTTATCAGCCTCCAGGTTTGGTCCAAACCCAACAGGAAACTGGTTTGTATTCTGAAAACACTGAGAATTAAAAGTTAGTGACACAAATATGAATGTTACATAATAATAACTGTTGGTTATAAAGCTAAACGAACTGCTTGGCGGGTCTGGTGACCTTCAGGTGTCGGGGCAAATTTACCTCATAAACAAAACTGAACAGGAGAAACCGAGAGCAGCTTCACAGCTTCGTTTTAACCAACAATTCACATGTTTCATGAGTTTATTTTGAAAGAAACTAATTGGGAATAATATTTTTTTGCCTGAATTTTGTTATTATTGTAAATTAATTTCCTATTTGTCTCTAAAACACCAACATTTTCATATAACTTTATATTTTGGTTATATAAAGTTCCCTCAGGATATTCGTATCCTGAAGGAACTTTTCATATGCTTTACTTTTTTAAAAAATTCAATTAAAGTACTTAATGACTTCCTGTTTCCACTGGCTGTTAATGTTTAACACAGGAAGGTCAACTTTCTTTTATTCTGGCCACATGACGTACAAGGACACTGGTTTATCCGCCAAACAGGAAGGTTTGGCGGCTAAACCTTCCTGTTTGGTAAAATTTGGTAAAAATGTGACTCAAGACTTGAGTCACATTTTTACCAAATATTGTTTTACATCAGTGACGATGTGGTGAAGTAAAGCTGCTCTTGCTCCGTCCACTGTTGCATTAGTACATATTTTCTTGAAACAAGAACATTAAAAATATAACTGTAATGAAATGATGAACACATTTATGTGTAATCTCAGGATGTCGTGTTTCTTACTGAAGCAAATTCATTTAAAGATACTCTAGATAAAAGTCTAAAATACTGAAAATGTTGAAAATTATGACTGATTTGCAGTTGCCTTCTGCATCTTCACATATTTCTGTTACCATGATGTTGCTGTAAAGTTGATTTAAAAAAAAACATAAATCTGCACCAACATGATTAGTGTTGGAATAGCTATAAAGAAGCTTTCATACATATATTGTTATAAAATAAACCCACAGCCGTCCCAAAACGGCTACATTATTTTCTCTAATGGAACTAAATGCATCCAGATCAGTTAAAATGCTCAATATTTGATCACTTTCAGTCAAATTTAACTACAGATTATCAATAAACACAGAAATAGAAAATGATAAAACTGTCGTTAGATGATTAAATGTTTCAGACCTACCCTGCACTAAACCGTCCAATCAGATAAAAACGCTTCTCTGCTCCGTGTGGCTTGGAGTCGTTTCCCTCCCAACATTTATTGCCTACCGATCTGCGTATCGGTGTATGAATGTGTGAGTGCGGATGGGTGAATGTGACTCTAGTGTGAAGCGCTTTGAGTGGTCAAAATGACTGGAAAAGTGCTACGTAAGTTCAGTTCAGTCCATTTACCATTGATAAAACAGGTTGAAAAAAATCCTGGTTTTACTTGACATGAAAACCACAAATGGCCAACCACTCAGCTGAGGTCTGAGTTTCTGAAGAGATGATTTGAATATGGAGCAGAATCTCCTAACGACCCGATTTCATTTCTGCCAATGTCAGAAACGTCGTTCCACCTCCTGATTTAGTCTAGTTAGATTCAGATCTGGACCAGTTGGAGGTGATTTTTACTCGTCTCGGCCCAGACTGAGCTGGAAGCTGCTGATGGCCAAAACATTTCATTTGTCAAAGTGAAGAAGGTGAAACGTGTGAAGCAGCTTCAGAGGATTATTGATGATGGATTTGTGTTTGTGCAAAACGTACAAGACCTTTGCATGTTCCAGTCATCTAATGGACAGAGACAGATTGACCTGCTTCTGATGCTATGAACTGATATTATTGTTATTCAAGAGTTAATTTCTGGACAGAAAAGGGATTAAAACTCAGAAAAGTCTTGACAATCTGCATAATATTTAACAAAGATCCTGGCATGTAAAGATCTGCAGGACGCTGCAGGGAACGAGTCTGTGGATACGATTGGCTGTGCTGGTTGCTGAGCAACCACATGAAGTTATGATCTTTTAAGGCTGCAGTTTGATAAACAAAACTGCTGACATCACGTTGACTGACGAGGAGAAGGCAAAGCTAATGGCTAACAGGGATGTGATGAATGTTAGGCAGCTGGTTTAGCTAATGAGGCTGAATGAGGCTAAGGACAACCTGAAGGCCTGAGAGCCTAACTTTACTCTGAAGTTAGAAGTTGTTATAAGTTTTAATCCTGTAAGAGGAGGGGCTGTTTGACGGGTTTGATCAATTTCATTTTGCTCGTTTTTTCCTTTTTCATCCAGATAACAGAATAATGTTTCACATTCTTCCAAAATGTCTCCTGCATTGTGGTCGTTTTCCAGCTCGGCTAGATTTACGCTTCCATTAAAGCTCACAGAAAGTTTTTAAAACACTTTTTAAACAAGTTTTGAAGTTTCTGCCAGGAGCAGGAAAGCCACCTCAAAGTAAACTTGAGTAATGGATGCTAACATGTGGATATTTGATAAGTGTTAAGAAGTAATCAAGACAGTTTGTCATCCATGTTGGCTTTATTTTAAAAGAAAAATACTAAACACAAAACATAGGCTGTTTCAGTCCAGCATTTATCCACCTCTCACTTCTGACCACTAACATTTTATTAGTAAAGTAGGATTCATCTTCCATTCATCTGCATTTTAATCTTTACTTAATCATCTGTTACAGACAAACCTGATAGTGTTTCTATGTTCATGCATAATTGTACAGCAATAACTCAGATTCCAGTAATTAGTTTCTTGAGACGTGACTCCAGGTCTGACGTTTCATTTCTGACAGGTTAGCTTCCCATTCCTGTGCAGAAACAGCAGCGGTAGAACCAGACTGCTTGGCAAACAGAACCAGAACCCGGTTAGGAAGATTGCACAGTGATTTTCTACTCTGTGGTTTTGGTGCAGAATGGCCATGGATGCGCTCTGCCCAGAAATCCTCAGCACCAGCGCGGCGGTTATAGCCAGGACGGTGTGGAACGCCCTCCATTTTGTCTGATCCGTCTTCATTCCCGGCGTGATCAGGACACAGAAGACAGCCAGGCTGCAGAAACTCATAGTCATGATGATGAAGGCAAAGATGGAGAAGTACACTGTGGTGGGGAAGTGAGGGTAAAACACGGGAACCAAAGCAAACATCACGAAGCTCAGCAGACAGCCAACAGCAATGCAGACGTTTCTGACTCTGGTTCCCTGTGACTTCTTCAGCTTCATGTAGATAATGGGGTGAACCACAGCCAGATAGCGCTCTATGCAGGTCAGACAGTGAAACACAGTCTGTGCAGGAGCAGTAAAGGAGATAAGGTGATAACCAAACACCATGATGGCTGGTCTGCAGGTTCCAACGCCAAAACTGAAAGATAAAAACCCAAAAGAAGAGAGGGTCTCTGCTGCACCCATCCAGTAGGTGAAGACGTCCGTGTGGCTGTTCTGTCCTGCAGCCGGCCTGGTGGAGCGCCATCTCTGGAAACCCATCCAGAAGATGAAGAGGTGCAGAGGGAGGATGAGGAGGTTGGTGAGGGTGTAGCAGTAGTAATGGATGACATGGTTGATGTCGCTGAAGCAAGAGAAGGTGACAGGATGGAGGGAGGCGTTGAAGGAGCAGAAGGTGCTGGAAGAGGAGTTGGTCAGCATGGCGGAGGGAAAGAAGACGTTTCCACCCTGGAGATACAATAACAGACGAGTTTTACTGACCCTTTGCACGTGACGTCACGCTGATCACAAACAGATCAGGATGAAAACCAAACTGGTCATTTTTTGTATAACTTTCAAAGCAGAAAGATGCGGCGCGATGGACAGCAGCTCGGTGTGACCGCGGTAAGATTAATGTTCATATACTTTATGGACACGTATGAAGATGATATCAAATATCGCATTATGGAGAAGGCAGCGTCTGACCATTGGTAACCATGGAAACAACGCCGCACCGTCATGTAGCCTAGCATGTATGGGGTAAAAACTGGTTAGCATCTCTTTTGTTCGGTTTTAATGCTGATCGGGTCTGAGGGGAAACACTGTTTATGACATATTAATATAAACCATGTGGCGTGAATTCAGGCAAAGTCTGTAATTTGATCAACACGTCAGAGGGAGAAGGTTCGGGTCAGTTTCTAAGCTAACTGTTTCCAACTTTAGTAAATCCCTCCGGCTATGAGCCCCAACCAGGTGAGTTACCTTCACAGACAAATTAGCTTTAATAAACTGACAAAAACAACGTAGGAAAACAATTTCAGTCTCTGTTCAACACTCCCATCCCGTCACTTCCGACGTCCATCATGGCGCCTCGAAGTGACGTAGTTGCAAAAGGTCAATATTTTTAAAATGCATTTTGGCAGGAGGAAGTGGTTTCAGTTGGGAGAAAGAAAACTCTTGGTAATTTTGAAAGAAAAGTCCTGCCGTCCTGTGCATTGTATAATTAAACAGACTGACCTGGTGAGCCTGTTTGGTTTCTTGCTGCTGGCTGAGTTCAGCAGGCGTCTCTGTTGAATAACTTGGTTAAGTTCATCTGAGGGTTTTAACTAATGGGAGGGAAACTGACGAGCTGACAGCTTATTTGCATCATGCAAACTTTGTGATTTATTGTAACTTTTTTGTTTTTTTCCATGAATCATAAAAATAGCTGGTGAATTATGAATTTGATTTATTGTCTGTTTCTGGACTTTATTTCATATCAACCTGTACAAACTGCTGTATATATGACATGAAAAGTGACCTTTTCTCTGAACTACAGCTTCATAAAGATTTACTTCCACAGTTTTTAGGTTTATCTTTACATTTACATCTTTACAATAACTCTGAAGTTATTGATATGCAGTCACAGTCAAACAAGACATCATAATGTGTTCATGTTAAAATCAGATTGAGCTAGCAGCCTCATTTATCACAGCTAGGCTATTTTAGCAACGGCAGAAAATCATAACAAATGTGAACAAAGCTTTGGGTCTTGCCTAAATGAGTCTCTTTTTAAGCTCTTGTTTTGTTATATCATCTAAAATGATCGAAGTATTGACAGTATTGGTAAGAATCGATCTGCTGTTTCAGTATCAATCCGGACCTCACTACGGTCCATTCTTCCAGTTCCTCCTGAAACATGGCAGCTTCCCGGCCTTGTGCAGAAACAGCAGAGGTAAAACCAAACTGCTGGGGACCGTCAGCCACAGCCCCGAATCCATAGATGTTCTGGATCTATTGAAATCATATCACTGAGGCCGAAAGACACAAGATATCCAACTATTCTCAGCAGCAGGGTCACAGTTATGGCCAGTATCATGTTGAAGGCCCTGAGCTTTGACTGGTCCGCTCGCTCCCTCGGCCCTGGCCGCCTCAGAAAGCGAAGCACAGCCAGGCAGCAGAATGTGGTGATGAGGAAGCAGACGGCCAGGAAGGGCAGCAGAGGGGCGGTGGGGAAGTCAGGCAGGTACAGCTTCAGTAAACCCGACCACCCGAAGCACAGCAGCCAGACGGACGCCGTGCTGACGTTTCTGACCCTGACTTTGATGGATTCGCTCCACTGGACGGACTTGACGGCATGAACGATGGCCAGGTAGCGCTCCACACAGGTCAGGACATGGAAGGAGCTCTGGCCAGGAAAAATGACGCAGAACAGAAACATCCCCAACAGGACCATTGCCTCACTCTCCATGTGGGTTCCCACAACATAAACCACGGAGCCCAGAACGCCAGTGACCTCCACCGCTGCCATCTGGAAGGTGAAGAAGTCGGAGTGGCCTGACGGCGCCAGGCGCTGACGCCTCCTCTGCTGGAAACCCAAGAAGAGGACGAAGGCGTAGAGCGGGAGGAAGGAGACGCTGATGACGGTGTAGGTGGTGTAGATGGCCAAGCTCTCAGGAGAGTTCAGGCACACGACGTGGAAATCCTCAGCGGAGGATTTGGAGGAGGCGAAGAGTTGATGGACATCGCATCTGGAGGAAAAATTAAAAACATGGAAGGATTTAATTCGCTGTGGAAACAAAAAACTGCTAGGAAATATCAAAGTGTTTGGGACTTAAACCAAATTCCTGCCTGGACAACCTTTATAATTTGATAAGTTTCTAATTGTTTACAAACCCAGAAGATTCCCTTGAGTCATAAAATAACTTTAATTACCATCAGAAACATGTTTATGACGAAGATGCATCAAAATCTACAATATAAGGATCATCCTAAGAAAAAGGAAATAATAAAATTAAGAGAAAAAAAATCCATATTATGAGAATAAAGTCACAATATTTTGATAATAAATTAAAAATGTTACAAGAACAAAGTCGTGCAAGAATAAAGTCATAATATTAACAGAATAAAGTTGAAATATTACTATAATAAGGTCACAAAATTTGAGAATAAAGTGAGAATAAAGTGAGAATAAAGTTGTAATATTTACCTTATTCTTGTAACATTGTGACTTTATTCTTGTACGATTTTATTGTGGTGATTTTATTTTTACCATCTTAGCGTAGCTCTAATAATAAACAGCTCTAACTGTATAAGGAGTCTGGACTGGTCAGACTTTGTTTTAGGAATATCTCATATTTTCCATCCCCATAATGAAAGCAGCAGATTAAAACATTTAAACTTTGACTGAAGTCACTTCATGCAGCTCAGTTCGTCCACAATTTTAATCAAATTTACTTCCATTCTGATCCGTTCAGACAAAACAAAGTCAGTTCAGTTTAATCCAATAATCTTCATTTGTTTAAAAGTCAGTAGAAACATCTGGAACACCTGAACGTTTCTACCATGTAAATGAATAAAAACACAAAAAAACTTCATCTATAAGAGACAAATCTCACCAGCAGCGTTTCTTCCAAACAGATGAAGCTTTAGAAGGTTTAGAGGCGTCTGCTTGTTTAAAACATAAATTTTATTTGCATGTTAGAAAATGACTGATGAGCCACTATTTAAATGTGTTGGCGTTAAAACCCACGACCACCAGTTCCCACTTTGTGTTCCAACATGGCCGCTCCTCGTATCGACAGTAAGCTGCAGTGGAAACATGTTTGTTTCATAAAACACAGATGTAAGACTGGATTCTTGGGCACCAAATCGTTTCAAGACAAAACAAAAATCATGCAGGAGGAAAAGTAAAGAAATGAATCTGGACTTTCTTATCTTATTACTGTAGAAATTTTAGGAGTTTTGCCACAAAACTGCTAACATATTCAGATAATTCTGGATGTTTGCATCTGTAAACAGAGTCGATCTGAAGAATGGATGTTTCTGGAGAACTGCAGTCCAACGAAGTTTCTCTCATCGGAATAATTATCAGTTTTCAGCTACTCTAGATATGAACTCACAACAAAGAATCTGGTAATTACTAGATACATTTATGGATCATGTCATTGTTAAAGTTGGATCTTGTCATTTTTAAAAAATAAAACAATAAATCTTATTGTGTCTAGACCTGCAGTGTGTAATATTCTGATGATTTAAGTGATAAATCCTGTTTAACCTGCTTGTGTCCATGCACATCTCTGTATGTTTCTCTCCAAATTAACATGTCAGTTCATGTGATTTCATGTCTGAGTTCATCATCAGTAACCGTCAGCCTGCAGGTGATTTATCAGAGTTATCCATCAGGTGCCAAAAAAAGCACAATCAACAGAAACAAGCTGCTGTTTTTATTCATTTGTTTAATTCATGAATTAAACAAATGAAGCCGCTCCAGTTTGCATGCAGGAGAATTAATTGTTCTGTGAGTTTTGTTTTCTCATCGTTCATTTTATTTTCATAATGGCTTCTTTAAAAACAAATGGGCTTTAACTTTACATTTAATAGTTGCATTTCAAGGTTTTTCTAAATGTATGAAGCTGTTTTCAAAACACAACATGATTTTATTTTTTTAAAGACAGATCAACACAGAGTAACACGTCACTGTAAAGTTGGAAAAAATAAGAGTGCATTTTTAAAAAAGGCTAATAAAAAACCTGGAAAGTGCTGCGTCATGTTGCAATGCACACATTTCGCCAGAAGATGGCACTGTGGTTTTAAATTAAATTTTCTTTGAGACTTAACTGTAATTTTTATTCTTTTATATTTGTGTTTAAAATGGACCATTCTGAAAATTAGATTTTTTCATTTACTTATGGATATAAAGAGTTTTATCTATGAAAGATTGGAGGAAGAAAGAGAAAAATGAGGAAAAGCATCAGAGCCAAGTCAAAACTCCTGATTTTACTTAAAAGCTATTGATGCTGTAGCACAGCTGGCTGCAGCAGACAATTAGAAAATTAGAGCAATATCGATAGAACATAATTCCACATCTTCTTGTGTACAGATTGTGCTAGCACTGCAGTGCAACTATCTCTTACAGGAAGTTAGAAAAGCGAAATTAACATAATTTGAAGGAAACCCTATTAGGACAAACAACTTCTACAAATCAAGGTGGAAAATAATGCAACATTTGTTTACATTAAACAAGAAGCAAACAAAACAATTCAGCATTTACTAATTAAAACAGACTCATTTAGTTCACCAAACCACCTCATTAGAAAACCTTTTCCTGTGTCGTTGTTTATCTGTGCTGTTAGTTTGTGTTTTCACATCACTAATATAAGGCTGACAGTGACTCGTTAAAAACAAATAATGATCAGGTGTCGTTTTTTCATAGTAGAAGCTAATTTTAGCACTGTTGCACAGCTAAGTCTAACAGGACATTAGAAAATAAAAGCTGACATCCAGAACATTTTATCCCAATACTCTAGTTTATACAGCTGGTTAGTTTTCCCGCTCTGTGCAGAAACAGGAGCGGCAGAACCAGACTACTGGGAAACGTCAGGAAGATTCCTGAATCCAGGAATCCGCACAGCCTCCTGGGATCCAGAAAGAGCACGTGTTTTAACCCAAAACCCACCAGGAGCCCAGCAAATCTCAGCACTAGAGTGACGGTTATGGCCAGGATCATGTAAAAAGCTCTCCGTTTGGTTTGGTCAGCCTGTCTGTTTTGATCTGTCGCTGGGTGAGTTAGAGCCCAGAGAACAGAACAGCAGAAGAAAACCATCACACTTATGGTGAGAACTAAAATAAGGAAAAAAGGAACAGAGGGAAAGTCTGGCAAGTTCAACTGTAGCACCCTCACCCATCCCAAACACAGCAGACAAACCGAAGCACTGCTGATGACTCTAATTTTGACCCTGTGGGTTTCCTTACTGCGCATGTAGGCGATGGGGTGAACAACAGCGAGGTAGCGGTCAGCGCAGGTCAGCACATGTAAAAATGTTTGTCCTGGTAGAATGATACAGAATAAATATACACCCAGAAAGAGAATCTGACTTTCACTGTAAAAGCTTGACGTAAAAATGACAGATCCAACAACGCAAATGATCTCTAGGATCATCATCTTGAGGGTGAAGAAGTCGGAGGGGCTCAGTGTCGCCCCGGCAGAGTGCTGATGTCTCCAACGCTGGATCTCCATGTAGAGAACGAAGACGTAGAGAGGGAGCAGGAGCAGAGAGTTGATGCTGCTGTAAACCATGAATATCACTCTTGTGGCCACTGAGTGCCGACAGGCCATGAAAAAGGGAACGTCAGAGGAGTTGGAGGTTGAGGAGACAGGAAGGATATTAAGAGACGACGAAGCGTTGACAGACATGGCCTAAGAAGAAGAGCAGAAACCAAAAACAGTCGCTAATGAATTCTCCTTTTTTGTCTGTAACATATCCATATCATCACATTTGCAGATGATAGTTTGATTTCTGCCAGTGTTGCATAAAATTACATTAATTTCCACTCAAAAATCTGAGTCTCCTCAAAAATATATATAATCTATAACTTTGAGACTAAGAAGTCTCAAAGTTTAATCATTGTTTGTAAAGAGTAATTGTGTTATTGACCACATTGTCAGACAATACAGGAAGGAATGACAGGAATATATGATGGAAATGCTTCTTTTCTGCCACACAACAGCTGCAACAGAACAGCTGGAAAAACGAGGACTAAGACGTTGCAATGGCCCAGTCAAAGTCCATATCTGAAATGTTTTGAAGACTAAAGGAGACATTTGTCTCTGAGCAGAACAAATGTCTGCAAACCTGAAGACATGTTGGAAAATTGGCTGTAATTCAATATAATGAGTTGTTGTGAGAATTGGAATATTAACGTTGAGCAATTTGGACTTCAGATAAAAAGATTCCTCAGTCATTTAAGCAAAGACTGTTATCAAAACTAAGACAATTAACTGAAATAGATCACTCTAACTACCACAAACATGTCAAATAACTAATCAAATCCATAAATAATTCAGGATATTCTGGACAAAATGATTCTCAGTATTGTGTGAAAAAGTAATACCTGAGAAGAGCATAGAAATGTACCTGTTAGTTTGGATCTTTCCTCTCGTTTTTCTCCTGAATGTCTCGTCTTACTGGTTCTGACTGTCAGAGAATTGGACCATGACTCTATATGTATTGGTGACGCCGGTGTGACTAAAACCAACAAACCAAACCGATCAAATGTTTTCGTGTAACTGAATCCCGGTGGGCAGTCATTAGAGTTCTCAGCTGTCATTTAGTATGAAATGGAGACGTAAAAGCGTATGAAGTTTCTCGTTCTAAACCCAGTATGTATGCAAAGACAGCAAATGAAGCTGTGGTGTAGTATGGCATGTCAATGCAAACACAATCTAAAGCATCTACGGGACAACAAAGATGAGGACGGAAAAACTGCAAACCAAATCTGAACAAAATGTCTCCTGGTTTGTTTCTGTACATTTACCCAAAAACAAAAACCCTGAAACAAAACATAACTACAGCAGTTCAAGCGCTCTAATGGTGTCTCAGGGCTAAAGTGGATGTTTGATATTGATGATATTACAAACATATAAAAGTTTACACTCGCACTTTAATGAAAAAAAAATAGAAATACAAAAATATTCCAAATTAACTGTAAAAATAAGTAAATAAATGAATATTGCAACATAAAAATAACTGGAATATATAGAAATTACAACTTTAAAGAAATAAACTAAATCTTTATATTAAAGAAAGAAAGAAAAAAGAAAATGAAAAAGAAAGAAGGAGAGAAATAAAGGAAGAAAGAAAGAAGGAGAAAATTACAGCATATTAATAATTATGCTTTTAATATGATTTCTAATTAAATAAATAAAAATTAAGAAATAAAGTTGGGGTTTTTTTAAAAATAGATAAACGAGGGAAAGTAATTAAAACATTTTAACCTTTATTTATTTTGTATTTAAGCAAACATAAATAATTAATTTAAAACAGTAGAAAAAATAGCAACAATTATATGTTTTGTGATAATACATTGAATGAAACTCTCTCTGTTAGGAGGTTTTAAGTCCATAACCGTTTAAAAATTAATAATTAATAATCTCCTGATTAAAAAGGTCAGAAATATTGAAATCATATTAATCTGCTCGACAGCGGAACCTTCGTGGTGCGTTTCCAATGGGACTGTTTTTGTTGACGCACCAGCGCACCTTGAACTCGTAGTGAAGCAGAAGTTTGGACTTTTCTCCTCTGTTTTCCCGTCTCATGCTAAACTAAGCCGTTTTCTGAAGCATGTCTGGGCTTCCTCGGTTCCTCCGCTTTTCGCCCTCAAACTCGGAGCGGATATGGCGCAGAGGAAGCGCAGAGAAGTGCGTCAGTTTTTCTTCCAGAGCCAACTTTCTGCGCCCCGGTGTAGCCCACCCGGACAGCAGGGGCGGGTCCAGGTGGTACAGCGGCTGCAAGCCGGTCCGGATCGGCTGCGCCTCCGGGTTCTGGGGGGACACGGCCACGTCAGGTAAGAACTGGGGGGATTTTCCACCAGCGGAGGGTTCGGTGCTGCGGAACCGCTCAGCTGAGGGGCATTTCCGGTTGATTTATAAACTACAACCTGCTTTCTAATGGGTTCACAGAGCTCCAGAATAACGGGCTCCTTAAGGATGCTTTCTGGTTTTCCGATGCTTGCAGAAATATCCACACCCTTAAGCACCGTGGTTTACTAGAACTTTATGTGACAAACTAATTTACTTTGACTAGGCCACCATATTGTAGCTTCCCATCAGCTCTGATTTCCTGTAAAGGGTGCAATTTGTTTTCCTCCAAGTAAAATCAGGCTAACAGATTCTTCCACCTGACCTCTTGTTGCCATGGCAACAGAGGCTTTGAACCTGACACACTTACCAGTCTTCAAACTGCTCCTTTTTCTTGGTCCCTGTGAAGCATTTAAAAAAAAAAAACACACACACACACAGCTGGAGCCAGAATGGAACGTCCAGCGGTTCTGACCCACTGACCCACTGACGGGTCTCTGGTTCTGTTTTCAGCCCCTCAGCTGATCTACGGCGGGAAGCTGGACTTCCTGGTGTTCGACTACCTCAGTGAGATCACCATGTCTCTGCTCACCGCCGCCAGAACCAAGACGCCTGTGAGTCTCACCTGTCCAACACTCACACCTGACTCTGTACAGCAAACCAGACAAGCACACAAATACTAGTTTTATTATTAATAATATTAATGATGTGTGTATTTTCATTCATTTCTAAATGTCGACACTATAGATTTAATTAAAATGTATTTATTTACAGATTGACTTTGTTTTTCTTGAACAGTTGTTAAAGATATTTATTTATTTTTTATTTTGTTTTGTCATTTCTGTATTATAATCTCAAAATTTTGAGATTAAAAAGTCAGTTTAAGTTTTGAGATAGAAAGTCAATTTCAACTTTCAAAGTTATAAGTTTGAGATACAGTCATAGTTATGAGAGTCAATTATTTGATTGAAAGTCATAATTTTGAAATTCTAAGTAATTAAATTCAGTCATAATTTTAAAATGTAAATTCATAATTTTGATTTTCTAATTCATAATTATGACTTTTATTGCCACTTCAAAAACTTTAAATTATAACTTCCTGTGGGGATTTTACTAGTTTTTCATGGCAGTAATGAGCTGCTATACTAAGCTGTGTAAAAATATTAGTTTTTATCAGTGAATCAGATCATGATTTTCATCTGCAGTTGCAGCTCGGCGCCTGTGGGTGGTGCTGTTTTCCCTGCTTTAAGGCTCGTTCTCTCCTTCCTGCAGAACCTGGGTTACGCTCCGGACTTCGTCCAGGTGGCTCTGGCTCCGTTCATCAACGACATCCACAGGAAAGGTGAGTCCGCCACCCAGCAGCAGCGGCAGCCGCCCTCCGTCTCCATGGCAACGGCCAACGCAGGCCTCTCTGCTCGTCAGGTATCCGTGTCGTCAGCAACGCGGGCGGAGTGAACCCGCTGGCCTGCGCCGAGGCCATACAGGAAGTTGTGAAAAAGGCGGGGCTGGACCTGAAGGTTGCCGTGGTGACCGGTGATGACCTCATGCCCAGCGTACGACCCCTCCTCTGATCTGACTACATGACCTCAGAGGTTTAAGTTGATCTGAGCTGATTTCCTCCTCTGGTTTCCTGCAGAGGAGCCTCCTGTCTGAAGTAAAGATGGCCGACGGTGGCGGCAGGCGGCCGCTGCCCAAAACGCTGCACAGCATGAACGCCTACCTGGGGTACGAACATGCAGATAATATAGATATAGAGATAAAATTATATCTTAAAGCAAGAAAACCTTTACTTCAGTCTATTGATGTATTTTATTTAGAGAATATATTATTTTTGAATAGAAAGCCAATCGGCACAAAACCATAAATACCTTGAATTTACCGTAAATATCCTAATGTGATTCCCTTCCTGTGCTCAGGGCCGAGCCGATCCGCCGCTGCCTGGACCTGGGAGCCGACGTCGTGGTAACGGGGCGCTGCGTGGACAGCGCCGTGGCTCTGGGGCCGCTCCTGCACACGGTACAGCTGACTGCCAGCATCTGCTGCTGCTGCTGTTGAGGGGCTTAAACCTGCAAATAGAGGGTTTCTGCAGATTTTTAGCACAGAAAGCAACTAAAGAAAACCTGCATCATGAAAACCGTATGCAGAAAAATCCCAGGGCGGGATTTGAACCCAGGACCTGCTTGCTGCTCGGCAACAGTGCTGACAACTACTCCAAGTTTCCAGCACTGAACTCCACTTGTAGTGCACCTTTCTTTCATTACTACATCTCATGTTGTAGCAGAGCATAAAAAAAAATAAAAAAATAAAAAAAATCATAGCATTCTGTAGTACATTGTAGCATAACGTGCTGTAGCATAGCATATTATAACATTTACTACATAGCATTATTTAGAATAAATTTAATTTAATTTTATAACTTAGCATAGAATAAGAAAATATCCCTAATCATACCCTAGCATAGCTTAGCATAGTTTAGCATACCCTAGCATAGCTTAGCATAGCTTAGCATAGCTTGGTACACCGTAGCACAGCAAACATAGCAGGACATAATGTAACATAACAGTGTTACAAACATAGCATAGCATGACTGTGTATATCAAAGCTCAACAAATCCTGACGGAATGTGGCATAGCAGAACAGAAATACACACAAATGTAACATAAACCTTTTTTTCTTTGATTCTATGTTATATGAAGCAAAGGAAACTGATTTTTTTCTTTTTAATGAAAATGTAGTTTTTGAAAGGTCTTTGTAGGGATTTGAAGTCTGATAGAATATTCTTCCATATTTGGCCTTTCACTGAAAATTTTAAAAACTGAAAAGCTTTTGGTGCTAAAAATGTAGACTTAAATGACTCAGATGTTTTTCCAAAGAGTGGTTTCAAGTTGGCTCTGAACTTTTGTGGCTAAAGATTTATGTTGATGAGCTAAAATTGTTTGGTTTCCGTCGCAGGACATTATGATTGTTTTAATCTGTATTTTGTTCACATGCGACTTAAAATCTGTTTCTGTTGCAGTTTGGTTGGAAAAGAGACGATTACGACTTGCTTGCAGCAGGAAGGTAAAAAAAACCACAAACACACCAAAAAACCCAGCAGAATTTAAAAATAAATTCTTTCTTTGTAAGTTTTCATTTCTTGCTGTATAAATGCAGGTGTTTTTTTTTGTGCAGCTTAGAGCAACGAACAAAGAATATCAGACCAAAAACAATCTTATTCTCACATAAATGTTACGTAATTTTTTTGTTTTTTTTTCAGAATAACATCTAGAAATTTTAACTCATTAGACTGGTGGGAAAAAAAAATACATTTCAATAAAACCATAAAGTAAATGCAGAACCACAGAAACATTTCATCAGAATGTATTTTTATTGTTTTGAAGCTCTCGCTGTTCGTGTTTCAGCCTTGCAGGTCATCTGATCGAGTGTGGAGCTCAGAGCACCGGAGGGATCTTCACCGACTGGCACCAAGTCCCCGACTGGTGAGTTTCAGCGGATTAAAAACCTGATTTTCATTCATCCATCTCCAATGTTCAACCCTCAGACCTGAACAGGAAACTTTAACAGGTTGGTATGCTAGCTCCTGCTAACCATCTGAATCTGGAAGCACTTGCTCTATTTACCCAACCAAATATTTTTGTAGCTACAGATATTCTCATCTTGTGAGAAAAAAAACGGTTACTAGCCGTTAGCTTGATTCTCACTTATTATTTGAGTAAATTTGAGAGCCTGCTGGTTGATTAAGTGTTGTTTGACTTCAGTTAGCTGCTATGGTTCCTGTAAGTAGTCATTAATCTGATTAGCTTTTAGCCTGACTCAGTTAGCCTGTCTCTTTTAATCTGTTAGCCTAGCTTGTCTAATGGAAACCTGTTTCCATTAGAATAATTATGGTGTTTTGAGGAATCTTGTTTCCAGTTTGGCCCTTTGGTCACAGCTGCTCTCTGCTCCCCTCTCAGGGACAACATGGGCTTCCCGGTGGTCGAATGTTCCTCTGACGGATCCTTCGTTCTCTCCAAGCCTCCAAAAACCGGCGGCCTGGTTTCCTTCGGAACCGTCGCCGAGCAGCTGGTGTACGAGATCGGCGACCCGCGGAGATACCTGCTGCCGGACGTCATCTGTGATTTCAGCCAGGTGGCGATCCAGGAACTACCCGGTACCCACACACACACACACACACACACACACACACACACACACATACACACACAGTCCTGAGGACATGACCACAGTTTGAACTGCTGACTGTTTTCATAACCCTGAAAAACTCCTAAACAAATGCATCTGGAGCTTCGTTTGGGCCCCTGACTGAACCCTTCACCCTCCTATGAACCTCCATTAAACTCTCTATCAGCTATCAGTCACAGATTTTCCTTTTATAAACCTAAACATGGATCCATCAGCCCCTGCCTGAACCTTTGGGCAGCAGCGTCTAACCTTCCCTTGAACCCCAGAAACCTTCTGCTGAGCTCCTCCTCGCTGATAAAACGCCTCATTTTCTGCCTGTTGGGTCATTAATTCAGGACTTTCTTGATTGATAGAGAGAAACTTCACTACTGTTGCCAGATTTCTGAAATTCCACCCTCAGGTCTCCCTCCCTCTGCTCAGCCTGAGTAAATAAGAGCTGTGTGTGCATTTTGGTTTCAGTACATCCAGAATATTTCGCACATGTATGTCAATGACCTTGTTACATCTGGGTTAGGAGAGACGAGGGAACAGAGTCAGCAGATAAAAAACATGTTTTTTAAAGAAATCTGTACATTTTGTCCCTCAAAAGCAACAAAGTGCTGATGTCTGAGTTTATACAGAGGAAAAATGTCCTGAAAGCTCAAAAGTCACAGAAGAAGTCTTCATTTCATGTCTGTAAATCAAAGTGGAACAGTGTTGCCCCGAAATAAAAACATCTTAATATATAACCTGAAATGAAAATATTAGTCTGTTAGTTCATTGTTTTTGTTCCTCCTTATGTGAAACGTGGCACTGTTTTGTAAATGTGACTGGCCACAATAAAACCATGAACAAGTCGATTCAGGGCGTTTTGACTCATTTACAGATTCTGAAAATAAGTTTCCAATCATTGAAAATACATAGAAATCTTAAACATTCTTTACTACAAGTGTTGTGTGCACTTATAATGTTTTAGGGCTGTTTGTAATTTAGAATATGAGTTGCTTTGGCAAAAATAAACATTTTCTTTCATATTGCAATGTAATTTTATTTTAGGTGTTAAGATGCAGTTAGTCAGCGTGGGGCGCAGCGCTGCTCACCGCCTCGTCGCAGTCATATTGTACTCAGCACAGGTGTAACCTGCATGCTACGTATCTTAATAATGTTCAAAAACAAGAGTTCTGCAACTCACCCTGAGAAACTTTCAGCCAGTATCTGCAGATTTTCTTTCTCAGTCTTATTCATTTATCCATTATTATTAACACAACACTTTAAGCTAACTGTAGCTTTGCACTTTAAGTTCACGTCACAGTAAATAAACAGTTGTTTACATGCAGTACATGGCGGACCAGTGGGGGCGCCCACGGACCACCGCTGGTCCGGCGACCACAGTTTGAGAAACACTGATCTAGAAGGTAAAGGATAATTAAAGGTGGGAAGGATTTCCCTGCAGATGATGTCAACAAGGCATTGGAATCATTATTTAGTAACTAAGATTAGAAAAGACTGTGAACTAGAAGGTAGTTTGCACTAAAGCTGAAGCGCTAATCATAAACAACAGCTAAGCTAATGCTAAAGCGCTATGTCAACACGGTATTTAATGGAAGCTAAAGCTAAACTGCTAACTTCAGTTCAAGCAGACTACAATCCTCAAGCACCAATTTCATTCAACATGTAAAGTTTTCATTTGACTTCACAGTTATGCAGTTCTTTGTTTGCTTTATTAAATCAAATTCTAATAATAATAATCCATAATTTTGGCAAGAAAAACAACATGAAACCTAAACTATCTGTACATCTTTTCCTCTTAAGAACCAAACCGTCAGAATGAGCCGTTAAGGTTTGAGCTACGATGGGAACTTCCAGCTGCTGCTGAAAAATGTAAATATTTCAGTCTGATTGAACCTCGCTGAACTCTCAGAGCCCGTTTGACCACCAGCCGACCCGTCTCAGTTTATCTCTGAACATTAACAAGGCGGGTTGGGGAACCCAGGACGGGTCAGTCTGCAGCTCGGTTCAAACCGCGGTGAACAACAGGCTGCAGGAGGGAACCGGAGGAGAGGCGGCGTCCAGAAGCAGGGAGGAGAAAACGAGTTCCTGCACAACGAAGAGCCACGACGGCCCAGATAGCACAGAGGACACCGAATAAAAAAAATGATTTAAAATGGACAAACTAAGAAATAGGTTTATTAAAAATGTTAAATAATTACAAAAAAATAAAAAAAATTATAAAAAATGTTTAGAAAATCAAAAAATACATAAAAAATATTAAGAAATGGTTTAAATAGAACTTTTGCTGCCCCAGTGATGTTAAGTTGTGTTTCAGGTGCAGACGGAGGGGCCGTCAGAGTCACCGGCGCCAGAGGTTTGGCCCCCTCTCCTGACTACAAGGTAAATCAGCAGCGTCACCAGCAGAGGGCGCCACCAGGAGAAGGGCCTCCATAGGAAAGGGTTAACAGTGATGTCGTTGCTGGCGTCCAGGTGTGTGCCACCTACATGGACGGGTTCAGAGCGACGGCGGTGTGTCCGGTGGGAGGGCCCAGAGCGGCCGAGAAGGCCCGGCGCACCGCAGACAGCATCATCAAACGGTGCGAGGAGCAGAACCGACCCGGCTGGGATGATTCCTCTCACTTTATTAATGTGTTTTCAGTCTGTTGAGCACATAAATCATCAGTGATTGAATTTAATCGGTTTGTTTTGTTCGTTCAGGACCAGGAGGATGTTTCAGCAGATGGGACTGCAGGATTTTAACTCGGTTAACGTTCAGGTTCTGGGAGCTGAAGACACTTACGGCCCAAACGCTCGCAGAAAAGTAAGAACAAAACGGAACCTGATATTCTGCAGGGTCAGGTCCGGTAACGGATTAGACCACTGATTTCCTTATTTTTATCATTTTTCTCTTTCTACCAAAAACTTGATAATGATGAAAGTTTTCACTTTGGTCTCAACCAGCTTTTATTTTGAAGGTTAACTTTGTTTACAGAAACTTCATAATTAAGTTTATGTGTCATTTCTGTTGTTTTATTTGTTTCAGATATTTAAAATATCTTCCAGTTCCAGTGTTAAATGTTCATTAGAATTTAAAGTTTATTCTTCTATATGTTTTTGCATCATTATGTTATTACTGTATTATCGTTTATTGCAATAACTTTGACAATTTGTCGTCTTTTTTCTACCAACATATTTGTTCCATAACTGATTTAAAGATGAATCTGTTCTGTTCCTCCTTTGCTGCGTCTCGCTGTTGGACCAACTGGGTCAGGGTCAGAGCTAAGCCTGTTTCAAGCCTCTGAACTCCCTCTGTGTCTCCCTTGTTCTCCATTCGCCACAGACGCTGCTGTGAGCCTCGGCTGCCCTGCGTGGAGCCTCCTGCAGAGGCCGAGCTCAGAGCGGAGCCGCCGCCAGCCTGCAGCGGTTAAACCTGACTCTGGTCTGTGTCTGTGTTCAGGACTCCAGGGAGGCCGTGGTCTGGATGGCCGTCCACCACAAGCAGAAGAAAGCTCTGGAGGTCTTCTCCAGGGAGGTGGCTCCTGCAGGAACAGGCATGGGTAGGAGAACCGCTCCACGCACAGAGCAACTGCAGATAAACACCAAATGTTACCGAGTATTTTGGTCGAGTTTCTGGTGCAAATGTCTTAGCACATTTGAAATAAGACAGAACTTTTCATCAAGACATAGGAGCTTGTTTTAAGTCAATGATTCCTTAATACTGATGAAGAAAAAACTAGATTATTTCACTCATAACTTTGGGGAACATGTCTCTTTATAAGTTAAACAATCTGACAGTGGATCTAGTTTTTTATGTCAATATTAAGGAATTATTGACTTAAACTCCAATATCTCGCAGAAAAGCAACTTAGTTTTTTTCTTAAAGGGAGATGGAGCCATTTTACAGCACAGTCTAACTACGTCAACTTCAGTTGTTATAAAAACGCTATCTATGTCAAATATGCCTTTGTAATTTAATGCCTTGAAATTGGGCCTCTGTCTCTTTAAAAACTCCTGCTCTGTCTGAAGCTCAGCCTTCATTACCACTTTAACAATGTTTTTATCACTGAGAAGTCGCTCCTGTGACGAGCTCAGCAGTTCCAGCAGGTGTTTGCTAATTG